AAGTAAATTTTTTAATTTTTTGGTTTTTTTAAAAAGAAATTTAAAAAAGACCAGGCTTTTTGGTTTTTTTTTTTTTTTTTTTTTTTTTTTTTTTTTTTTTTTTTTTTACAAAATTTGTTGCAAAAATACTATTCCTGATGGATCGGTTCTGATGGGATAGAAAAAAAAATCAAATTACGTATCTTTCATGATAGGTTCTTAAAAGAACCCGAAGCCAATTTTTCATAAAGTGCTTAGTTATAATAAGGATGTAAAACCTAATAATTTACCTTAACATTAATCTTTAAGATAATAAATAAGAATATATCTAAATTTTGTCAAAAATTTTTATGATGAAAAATAATTGGAGTTATTTAATAATTCATTGTTATTTCTTGGATATCGATCTTTCATTGGATTGGGCAGTTATTATTGGGCTTCAAATCTTTACGCCATGGTTTTATACTTTGATAGTAATGTAGTTTTTAGGATCCTCACGAAAAGGTAGTAATTTGATTTTTTTTCTATTCCATCAGGAACAGTACCGACGATCCATCAGGAATAGTATTTTTGCAAATCTATTCTGTTACGTATAAAAAATTTTTTTTTCAAATTGAATAAGTTAGTTGCGCAACCAAAATTCAGCAGATCGGGCCGAATCACTAAAAATTTTGCCAATAAATTCATAGCCCACTCACTAAGTAAAGCTGCCCAGATAATAATTTTGCTATAGTATGGTTGACCAGCATTATTGCTAAATCCGATGAGTTTTGGCCCTGAATTTTGGTCGATCTGCTGAATTTGGTTGCGCAACTAACTTACTCTTCAAATTTGGCCGAAACCAATTATTAACGTTAATAATGATTAAAATAGGAAGTTACTATTTATATACTAGTGTTTGTAGTCGATTTTGCATTAGTCGATAAAATCGGCTTAGCAGGCTTAGTCAGTCGATTTTTCAAAAAATCGCTTAGTCGTGATTTTATGTTAAAAACTACAGTAACCAATCAGTCATAGTAGGATCCCGAAAATAAAATTAAATAGGATTTAGGATATCGACTCCGACTTAGCCGGCTAAGCCGATTTTTAAATATCGACTTAGTCAAGTCGATAAATGATGGTCGACTACAAACACTATCTAAAAAAAATTATTTTAGCAACTTATCATATGACAATTGTGTGGCACCCAATAATATTGACACGTGAACTTGCTATGATAATAGGAAAGGCAAATTTTAATTGTGTAAATGTCATCATTATCTTGAACATTATGTGTAAATGTCATAATTATCGTTGTACTTTATATGAATAGCAAAAGTGTGAGGTACAAATAGCAATACCCATCCTGGTATCTAAATTAATAAAAGATTTATACATGGGAGGTATGAATAGCAAAAACGGGGGGTACAAATAGTATTTCCCTAAACATAGATAAGGTAATTTAAAAACTACTATGATATATAAACCAAATTTTAAAACTAATATATAAAATACAAATTCTCGTGTCCTACGTCAGAACTAGTAGCGGTAGATAATTTATAATTCTCACAAACTTGTTACAGTCTTTATTAGACGAGTGAACTATTGCGAAATTGTACAACATAATTTATGAAAAACAAACTTTCAAATGATAATTTTTAAGAAAATTCTATTTATTGCTTTTTTTTTGATTTTTTTCGGGAATTCGTAGTTTCAAATGCTTTAAATTACTCTATAGACAGAGCAGAGATTCTATCTCCGTTCAGATCAAAAATCAAATACTATGCAACTATTTAAAAGTTAATATTATACATTTGTCACTTGATCTAAACAGTGCTATGAAATACACGAATGTGGATATCGCCTCTCTACATCACGTGGTCACCAGTTGTTTTCCTAGAATCGATACTGTCTTATTTTTTCTTCTTACCGAAATCCTTTTATTACTTACATTTATCAATTCTTCATGATATCCGGCCTGTACAGCCGGGCTATCATAATGCTGTTAGTCAAAATTGTTTTTGCTAATGTCAAAATTTGTCTAAATTAAATTGTCTAAATGTCTAAATTCATTTTTTAATAGTAATTTTTAAAAAAATAACTAAGTCAAAATTGCCTAAATTCAATTTGCCTAAATGCCTAAATGTCAAAATAATTTCGACTAACAACATTAGGCTATCAGCTACCATTTGATATCCAACTTGTCCAGTCAGGCTACCACATATATTACTATTGCATAATAACGATAATGCTGTTCTAAGTGATACATGATTATATATGAGTGACTGTCAGGGAAAACCTGTAACTTATAGGTTTTCCCTGACAGTCACATTGACGGTATTAGAAGCTTTCATACAGTTCTGGAAGTGCATTGAAAATGCCCTAGTCAGATAATTTTCATTGAAATTTTTATAATAATTTTTTTTTTTTTAATGTTAAGGTGGCCTTCTTGGCTGATAAAAATTTTTATAAGTTATAAAAATTATTCTATATAAATGAAAATAACAACAAATTTATAGTTGATTAAATTCTACAAAATGAGAACTATATAATAATTAATAATGATTTTGATATAGTTTAACATATTTTCGCACATATTAATATTAACGGCACATTCTAACCAAATATATTTGTCATTTTTATTATATTATACGATTTGAAATAAAATAGTTCTCATGAATAAATGATTGTGCTGTCTATAAAATAAAAAGAATAAATAATTAAATTAATGTATTAATGTATTAATTATTATCTTTACATTCTAAATCTCTAAATTTTATTTATAAGGTAACTTCTAATAGTAAGATGCTTGAATATTTCTTCAAATTATTGATTTTAAATGTATAATGAAGTGTTGGTCAAATTTGATGGACGAGTTTGAGCTATACCAAGTCTCGCGTTCTGATTGGGATTTGTCTATAAGCAGTTCAATTCGTGAGATTTAAAATATTTAAACTAATTGCTTTATCTGTTATGTCAAAAATAATTTACAGTATATTACTTACTGAATGATTTCTTTGTTGTGATCTCTCTGAAATGAAACAAGTTGTTAGCTTTAAATCTCAATGAATTGTTAACAAATAAATAAATATACATATACTGTATATACTAACAAGTAAATAATTATTAATCTCAAAATCATTTCGAATATTGGGTTGAGAATGTTACAGCACAAGCAAAACAAAAAATTTGTTACGGGATTCGTTATGGTATTTTTATAAAACAGAGCAATTGGAAGTAGAAGGATCGCTAGTGAAAAAAATTTTATTCCAATTGCATAGTTTAAAACTTGAAACTATTTTTTTAAAAAAAAGTTTTTTTTTTTTTTATAATTAACCCGTTAAATATAACACTTTTGACATAGCATAGAAACGTACCAAATTTTTCTTAACTTTTAAAAAAAGATAACAGGACTCAAATCAAACCAATTTTATATAAGTTATAGAATTATTTAAAAATATTTTTTATTTTTAGAAAAATTTTATTAAAAAAAAAAATTTTGGTGCGTTTCTACTGATTTCAAAATTAAAAATTTATAAAGAATGAGCTTACCTTATATATACGAAATTTGAAGCTCTTATCGTCTATTCCTGCTAATTTCATACTTTCTTGTGCCAAAGAAATCAATACGCTTCCATAATAAGCAACAGAAGCGAATATAGTTACACTTATTAGCCAACAAAAGGACATTTGTACAGATAATGCAACATAACGGTTATTTTGGTTATTGATTCTATAATAATGTCCAGCTATTATTGATGATGCCAAAATACAAATAATTGTTATAATTGAAATGGACCATAAAATTGGTTTAACTTTTTGTGGGTTAGGAATCCATATCGAATGTTTACATTTGTCTTCGATAGATGTAAATCTGTCAAAACTTAATCGAGGAATTGAAAGAAATATACCCGAGAGGTATACGTATAACCCTATCGGTCCCAGTGCCCATGAAATACTGGCCAAGATTTCACGTAATATTACGTGGGTTTTCACGATGTTAAGAGCAGTTATCAAGCAATCTAAAGATCGCACTGAGATTTATACCGGTAAGAATTTTGAAAGGTAAATGTTAAAGTTAATAAAAATGCAATACTTACATACACAAAACAGTACACCCCAAAATAAAAAATAATCTAAAGTAGTCAAAGGTGTTTTTTTACTGTAACGAATTTTTGTTCTTATAAAAATGAGTAATAAATCATTAATTGCTAATATTGCATAAAGACCAGTGCCTGCTAACAAAAGATTTCTAAATGTTGACTCTCCATCACATCCTTTTATTATGGTGTAAGGCCATCTGTTTAATAGACTTGTAAATATTTAAGTCAGAATAATAAGTAGCTAGAGATTAAATAACATCACTCACTCGCAAGGGAATTCTGACATTGTTATTTATAATTCTTTATACGTTCAAATCCATATACCATTTGCAATTTATATAATAAAACTTGGACGATCCTCCTCTGTTATTACTAATCTTTTTTTTTTTTTTATTAGAAAGGTTCGACTGGGACTTCCGACGCTCTCGGATCCCTTCTTTTTTTGTAAGATTAGCTAAATTCATGCGTCGAATAGGAAAATACAATTATTCGAAAACCTTAAATGTATATGATGTATATGTCAATTATAAAACCTTTTTGTCTACGTATCCACATGTGTGTCTATTCTCTAATCTTAATTTTAAATTGTTTCACATTAAAGTTAATGCAATATTAACAGTTTATAGCTGTTTTCAAAAAGGTGCGAACGAACGTAGATCACCATATCATGGGAAATTGACGATATTTCCCAGATTTCAAAGACCCGCTCTATTCGGATCTTTAATTTTCCTAATCAGAATTTTCAGATTCTTTTGATTCCCACATAAGGTATATTGAACTTGTTGTTCACACCTTTTTGAAAACAGCTGTAATGTAAAAGATCTTACGCTGATCCATCATTACTAGGAAATTAATCGTACATATGCTTTTAATTAACCGAGATTTATTTTATCGGCTCGTGTCATTAATTAATTCTATTCTAATAAATTACATATAAGTGAAGTAAATTAAAACCTATTGTTAATAATTAACAATTCTTTAAATTCGTCTCTAGACTTTTAAATCACCAATAATAAAATAAACGGTTTAAAATCCGACTACAGCACACATTGGCCTGCACGAGCCTGATAAAATAATTTTTTGCCGGCCCCGCAATTTTACTATGTTTTAAAAAAAATTTCAATTTCGTCCCGGTCCGTGCAGGCCTCTACATCCTGGGTATTCAACTAAGAAATACAGTGAGAGTTATACGGAGAGATTTAATATAGGGCAATGCGTCATGATAGTAACAATGTTCAACATGAAGTTAGTAAAAGTTTATAATAGAAGTTGATTTATAGAAAACTATAACTTCAAACAACAATTAATTAAAATTTTTAAATATATTATATCTATAATTTTAAAATATACTCACTTATTCATTTACTGAAATTTATATTGATTTATCTATCATACTCATTTTTTTCCTTATGACTATTATCCCGGCAGGCTTCCAAAAGCCTCTGTCTCTAGTCCCTTGTAATTGTCGTCTCGACAGGTCATTTAAATTCCAATCCCTTTTTTCAATTGGGCTGTGTGCTAGGAGGGTCGATATACTGTAACCAAAACTAAAGTCTGGTTGCGCAGAAAAGACAGCAATTTTTTTTACCACTTCTTCTTTTTCATTATTTATTCGACTTTCGTAATACTTACTAACGCCAATACGTCAATTCACATATCTCATTATGATCATTTATATCTCATAACCACACAAATATCAATCGTATTACGATAATCATTTTCGCTCCATGTGACTGTAATCGGCATGTCACATGTTGGCGAATTAAATAAAAATATTTTATAAACCTAAATAATGTAATATTTTTTAAAAATTTTATTAATAACTTTAAAAGTGTTCAATCTTATTAAAATCTTTGATGAATAGAGTTTTTATAACAATGTTATACATTATTATGGAAAAAAATTATGTTTTTTTGTTTTTTTAGCTTTGTTAAAATTGCACACTGTAGGAACGAAAACTGATATGGGTCAGTCTCTATGGTTATAGGGCTTCGGGACTTTTTGATCAAATCTTGATAATTTGTTGGATTATGTTCTTAAGCTGCTTAAGAACATAATCCAACAAATTATCAAGATTTGATCAAAAAGTCCCGAAGCCCTATAACGGTAGAGACTGACCATATAGTTACCTCGGCAATGAGTGCTATGTAACAGTATGTTGATCCAATAATATTATGTATTTTATTAACCACGAGAAATTAATATCTGCGATTAAAATAATAACTCCTACCCTTACTAGAATAGGCACCACCCTAACCCTAATGAAGCTTCGAATTAAATTTTGATCTGATGCAAATCATAATCAAAGTTGAGAGTCCGGACAAAATAAGGCCGATCCATTATTAAGCATATAACCTATCAATAGTCACATCACGTTTTTAATTAACGTTATATGAAAAAAAATTTCTAGTAAACCATGGTTATCAAGGCTAATAACTGTAATTTATAAACCACTTTTGTCTAATAATGATTTTCTTTGCAACCAATAATCCAAATTAACTCAAATTATTACCAGATATAGTAATCTATCTTCTATCAACATTCTTTTTGATTATCGAGGAAATCTCAATTTTTAACGAAAAATTAACTATCATATGAATGATTTTCTTTGATAATCAAAAAAATTGACCTAAATTTTTTTTATATAAAAAATAATTCCCATCTCACTGTCTATTACAATAAAATGATTTAACATCCATAAAAAAAAAAAAAAAAAAACTTTATTTAAAATAATACTTTAATTTAAATCGAATAAAAATCTTAATTTGAAAAAAAGCTTTTATCTAAGAATAAAGATCTGGGAGATAGCAGATAGATATAATTATATAAAAAAGGAAGTGCAACAAATATTACGGTTACTACAATTATAGTAGCCACGGGAATATCTCAACCTCATGTGAATTAATATACCATACAAAAAAAATTGGGTTTTCACATGCTCGATAATCTTATATCTTAAAGCAAAAATGATCTTTGGCGTGATGATTAATTTGGTGGTGTACATGTGATCTGGATTTTGATAAGACTATTAATACTTCTAAACTTCTAAGAACTGATTTTTTAATAGATATCACACCATTTAACCGATAACACAGTATTTCCCTGATTCTAAATAAAATCTAAGCAACGAACAGATATTTCATCCGAATAACTCTAACTCTTGTTACGGGATAAAAGGATAGACCCGGAAAATAGGGTCGGAGCTTCGTCTAAAATGTAAAATGGCAATGGACAGAAGGGAATTACCGAAAATGGATACGTCCACTGAAAAAGTGATAATTGGTTCTAGGCTAGAACTCGTCCGGAACTTGGGTTACACAGAGGTTCGAATCTATACAAATAAACCAAATAATCCAAAAATCCAACTAAGAGGTAACCCTAGTTTGGATAAGGCTTGAAAGAGGCGAGGATTAACTTGGTCCGAGGT